TTGCCAGCCACTATTAGCATGCCTCCCGTGCATTTTAGCGCTTCCACCCAACTCTGTCCCCCCTTAGGGATTCTGTCACGTTCTTCCCACTACCCTCACCTCCAACCTCAAAACGGTAGGTGGTCAGCACCGAATATAAGTAGCACTCCTGAGTCCTATGATATTAATTAGTCCCAAGACATTGTTTTATGCAGATTTTTTAAAATGACAAATGCGTATATGCTCCTCCTGACTGCCACCCCCTTCAGACATTGCAAAAGCAAATTCAGTAATAATTGAAAAGTTCCTGCACCCCCAATTCAATTCCTAAAAGAAAAATATGCACACCGACGATTAGACATGTATTCCTCAAAGCTACTTAAAAGTGAATACGTCATTATGTGTACTTCTGGAATTGTATTTACAAAAACGGAAACTGCTGTAGATTATTGCTCAGCAGCATACATTTTATGTCATTTAGTACCTATCTGTTTTATTCTTTTCGATGATTATGTGGTAGTACAACTAAATTGATGTACCATAATTTGTTTAACCAGCCTTATCTTGACCCTCTATTTCAAACACTACCTTGAAAATTCTTTGATGTTCTTGTGCAAAACTTAGTGAACTTATGCAAGTACTTCTGTAAAATAGAGTTTTAGAAATGGAAGAGCTGAGTGATGATAGCCCTCTTTTTTAAAGGTCAGGCTTATTGATGTTTATAATTTGCATACAGTAAAACTTAACTTTTTATATGCACAGTTGGATGAATTTTGGCAAACACATATAGTCATGTAAAGACCACTACAAATGAGATATACATTTCCAGCACCCTCCCCCAATTTTCCCCCTTGCTCCCTTTTAGTCATCTTTTCCCTCTACTCCCAGCACCTGACAATCTCTAATATGATTTTTTACTTTATCTTTTGCTTTTTCTGGGATGAAATAATTTGGGTCTGTTTCCCAGTTTCTTTCACTTGGCATACTGCTTTCAAGATTCATTTATGTTGTGTGTATTAGTGGTCTTTTCTTTATATTGCTGAGTACCACCACATGGATGTACCACAGTTTGCTTATCCACTCACCAGATGAAGAACAATTGAGTTGTTTTTAGCTTTTGCTCATTATAATTAAAGCTGATATAAACATTTATGTATAGGTGGACATGTTTTCACTTTTCTTGAGTAAATATCTAGAAAGAGGATTATAGGATCATAGAGCAAATATATGTTTAGCTTTGTAAGAAACTGCCAAACTGTTTTTCCAAGTGGCTGTACCATTTTGCATGGTGACTGGCAATACATGAGAATACTAATTGCTCCACATGCTCATCAACACTTGGTATTATTAGGTTTCTAATTTTTTAGTCTTTCCCACTCTAATAGGTGTGTAGTAGTATTTTATTGTGGTTTTAATTTGAATTTCCCTAATGACTCCTGATATTGAGATCTTTTCAGGTCCTTATTTGTCCTCTGTATATCTTCTTTGTTGAAGAGTAAATTCAAACCTTTCCCCTATTTTCGTGGAGGTAGGAGGATAGTATTGTTTCACTATTGTTGAATTGTAAGAGTTCTCTGCATGTATTTTCTGAGTCTGAGGCTTGCCGTTTACTTTTATTAACAGTACCTTTCGAAGAGCAGAAGTTTTTAATTTTGATGAAGTCCGATTTATCAATTTTTCTTTTATGGTTTACATTTTCTGTATACTCTTTATAAAATCCTTGCCTAACTCATAAGGATTTTATCTTATATTTCTAAGGTTTTTCTTTTAGAATTTTTAGTTTTAAGTTTTATTTAAGCCTATGAGCCATTGTGAGTTAATTTTTCTAAATAGTAGGAGGGAAGGATTGAGATTCATCCTGTTTTTGCACATGCCGTTCAATTGCACCATTTGTTCAAAACTTTCCTTTCCCGCCTAGAGGATTCACTGAATCCCCTTGGCAACTTCAATGAACATCAGTTGACTATATATGTGTGAGTCTATTTTTGAAGTCTGATATCTACTTTTAAAATGTGATAAATGATGTGCCAATTTGCCCTCCAAAAAAGGCAACTTATCCTCCCACCAGAAGTGTGTGACAGCGACTTTACAGCTGAATCTCAGGAACAGAACTGGGGTGCCGCGCTGCAGTCCCTTGCCTCGGTCCAAACACAACTCTTCTTAAAGTCTCCTGAGAGTGACAGCGACTTTACAGCTGAATCTCAGGAACAGAACTGGGGTGCCGCGCTGCAGTCCCTTACCTCGGCCCAAACACAACTCTTCTTAAAGTCTCCTGAGCTGATATCGCCTCACGCCTTGGTCGCAGGTAGCTTACAAACTACTGTTTGCAACGGAAAACTCTTTACGACTAAGTCAATTCACTTTACCGCGTAGGATCCTGCAAGGCAGCTGCTCTGTTGTACAAGTGAGTTCAAGTCTCAGCCGGACCCCGCGGAGTTTTGCGTTTTCCTCTCCGGTAACTGCCCATTTCTCCCCTTTTCTGAGTAAAACTCTTCTCCAGCTTAATGATCTACTTAGTTCCTGGAGTGAGAAAGTTATTCTTCAAAGCAAAGGAGTTCTCAAGACGTAATGTGACCCAACCTGGGCCGAGCCCTGAGCAACTCCGAAATGGGCACCGCCCTTAGGACGTTTGCAAACTCCCCGGGAGCGGGTGCAAAGGGCCGGAAAGTAACCTCTCCCGACAGGAGACCCCGCTGCCTCCGAGCCTCCGAGGGGGCGCTCTCCCCGCGGCCGGTCCTGTCCCCAAGCCCACTCGCCGGCGCGCGGAGCAGCTAACTAGGGTTGCTGGATTTGTGTATAAATCTTTTTTGTTCTTTATCTGAAATTCAAATGTAACGGGGCGTTTTGTATTTTATCTGGCAATCCTGCCTCAGACCTCGGGCCGGGGCGGGCTTTCTTCGCTGCGGGACACGCGTCCTCGGTCACTTCGTCTGTCTGAGAGAAGACCGCCTAATTCACCGAGATCATTCAGGCGAGTCCACCTCCTGCCCTTCCTTCCCCACCAACGCCACAACCCCATCCTGGAGACGTCTGAAAAACCAGCGCAGGTCCCGGCCATCCAAGCGCTCAGCCTTCCAGGAGGTGCGAAAAACTGTCCTTGCGGCGTGTGTGTGTGTGCGTGTGCGTGTGAGTGTGTGTGTGAATGTGAGTGTGTGTGAGTGTGTGTGTGAATGTGAGTGTGTGTGAGTGTGTGTGTGAATGTGAGTGTGTGAGTGAGTGTGTGTGCGCGCGCGCTGTGGAGCTGCGGGGTGCCAGGCG